TAATGCCACTAAGATACAACAGACTACTGGGAGTGAAAGAGAATGAAAAAAAAAAAAAACTTTAGAAAGTACTAGAAACTCAATCCTAATCAGGAAAAAAGGAATAAACCTCTACTCCTGTTCAAGAAATTGGGGAGGATGATAGCTGAACCTATCTACTCTTATAAGGAAAAAATAATTATTAGTTAATATTTCAGAGTTCAGATGGTAATATTAGAATTAGAGAGTTGAAGTAGAATTTAGAAGTAACCAAAAATGCAATCCTAAACAGGAAACAAGGATAAACCTCTACTCCTATTTAAAAGACTGGGAGGAGTATGGACTCGACGATTATAGAAAAAGGATCATTTTAATTTGTTTTGGTGAAAACCATGGCTAAATACAAAATGTTTGTTTAACATTATTTAAAATGCTTGTGTTAAAAACAGTGCTGCATAATCCCAACTATAATTTGCTGAAGATTATGGAAGTGCAATCACAAGTTAGGAATTTATTTTTAATGCAATTGCAATGTCTCTTCAGAATGTAGACAACCATTTGGGGGGGGGGAATGGTGTGGTTTCCTGTTGCCATTTGTATGGTTGGAAATTCATTTACTCCTTTTCTTGAAATGGTTACTATGCAAGGCTATAGATTTCAGTCTAGCCTATTGTTTAACCCATAACTGTTAGGTGGAGAAGAGATGGATTCATGCCTTTCCCAAGGGCATTTGTGTGACAGTCAATGCAGCAAGTTAAGAATGCTGCTTGCCGATTCCACTTTCCTTGCCCATAACTTACTTGACCAGTACATTCTTAGGAATGATTAGCAAAGAATTTTCTGAAAGACATCAGAACTTAAACTGATGAACTAGGGAAGATTTTGAAGAAATATGTGCTTGAAACAAGATGGAAGCTTAAAATTAAAAGTAAATCTAATGTTTAAATGGAACACTGAAAAAGAAAAAAAACAACTTTTTCTGCATAACAACATCCATTATTAGCTGCGAATGTGGCATCTTCATTAAGTTCTTTCATGGGTGACATATTTTTCTGACATGTCTTCAAACTGAAACTTGCTCCATACAATACTCCTTTGGTCAGCAATCAATTTCAAGGAAGTTTTTTATTTTTATTTTTTATTTTTTTTTTTTACATTTCCCAAAGAATTCATTGAATCAAAACTGGAACATTTTTGTAATGTATATATTTTTTTTTTTTAAATGAAACTGCATTTTCAGGAATATACAGTTTAGCTAAAAGGTAGTAGAAAGTGATAAAAAGCCTTGGAGAGTATTTTGATGACTGAATATGGATGTTATAAAATCATCTGAATAAAAGGTTTTGTGATACAAAACAAATTCTAAAAAGCTAAAAAAAAAACCCCAAAAATGCTGAAACCTTTTGCATCAACCAAATAATAATAATTATGCTCCAGTTCAATAAAGGTTTCAAAGAAATATTTAAAAAAGAAATGGGCTTTTGTTTAAATTTACATTTTAACAGAAAGTGCTCAAGTTTAAAATATCTTAAGATTTTGAGTTTCTCTGAAATATAAATGTACAGAGAATTAAGTATATTATTATTATACTATGTAGGAAGTTACTAACTAATAAACTAAAAGTGCTAAATTTATATTATTTACTAAGCTTAGCTTAGCTTAGGTTATCACAGAGCTACAACCATAGAGACCCTAGTTAAGAGTGAATGTATTACTCTGTAGTAATGGTCAACCATACTAGCTGGAAAAACATTACCCCATGCTGAAGTGCCAAAGGTATTACATTTATAGATGTATAATGTCATGCCAAGAAATTAGAAGTTATCTTTAGATAAGAAAGAACTAACAAAATCTGAAGAAACCACTAATCTGATATGTAGAGTTTATATCTTATATTCTCTCGTAACCAATTGTCATCTATACAAGCAAAAGATGTTGGTTCAAATTACTGAATCCCGTCATTCTTCTTGCAAAGCGTTTTACCAATTTGTTTATATTAAATTCTGAATTCATTTTTAGGATATCCTTGCTACAATGGAGGAAGGTGAACCTAAAATAAAGAATGTGATCCAATTGTCTGAAAAAGTTCTTCCTGCTACAGCTGAACCAGGCAAAGAAGTGATTATTCGAGAAAGAGATGCCCTCAAGGATGATTGGTCAGCATTTGTTTCAACTGTTGCAGAGGTAAGTCATCTATGTTGCACATATCTGTTGAAATCCAATTCTCACCATATGAACAGGAGATAAAGATTTTTTTTTAAAGCCATCATTAAATGTTATAACACTGCTTCAACTTTATCCTTTTTTTATCTGTGTTAATCTAAAGTTAGCTATTTATCTTGTTCATTGACATTAGAAAGATAACACACCCGAACAAGCCAACAGCTGAGTGTCACAGATGAGATGATTCAGCAAATCATCAATTTAGTGCTATGGGAGCAATAACATGTTTTACAATAGTGTTATTCTTTCTCAAGATAGTAATATCTCCTTGTGCAAATAAAGTAAATTTAAAATTTACTTTGGGTTTATAACAATATGTTGTGAATATGAGTGCATCGACAGCTTACCTTATGCATAAATCCACATTTATAAATAATAATAATAATTAATATCAATCTTCCAATATTCTATAACATTTTAAGAGTGCAACTTTTCAAATTTTAAAACACATGAAGACATTACAAATTCAAATTACTAGTGTCAAAATGACATCAGATTCACACTAAACCCTTTGATTAGTCATTCTTACTAATTAACTGACTGAAAGTTTTAAGATGAGCATACTCCCCATTGTGTTATGTTTTACTTGCATTCTATTCAAATTGGCTGTGTTTCACTTGCTTTGTCACATTGATTACCAATGCAATCATTTTTTTTTCAAGTTATGTTTGTACAAAGACTTGTTTTTAGACTTGTGTGCATTCTTGTTTTTTATATATAACATGAAGGCACACACACACACACACTGTTAAAATATTGTTAAACATTGCATACTTTCTATTTCTCTTCTGGAAATCCTGCTTTTTTGGAAGTGTTTTAATAATAATACCAATTGATATATGTAAAATTATGTAATTTAATGTATGTTAATGGGAGCAGAATTTTGTCAGTTAGGGAGCTCAATAGATATTGGGAGTAATGATTATTATAAAGAAATAGAAAATAAAGTGTTGTGAACGTGTGTGTGTGTGTGTGTATATATATATATATATATATATATATATATATATATATACACACACAATGCGATGGATAAATTGTCATCTAAATTACATAAAAATGAAAATAACACTGACATCTCATTTTAACAGCTATATTTACTAAAATTACACAAAAACATCTTGAAATACTAGAGTAAATTTATTCAATAAAATCACTATTGGCTTCAACCACGCCCTCCAGACGACATCAGAATCTCCTGTAACTCTTCTGGATGGTCTCCTTGTTTAAGTTGGTGAATGCAGTTCATCTTTAGTATTACAAGTTTTGTTGGTCTCTCACTCAACTGCACCCCACACATAATCAAGGTGGTTGAAGTCTGTGTAGCTAGGTGGCCAGATGTAAGGGGTGATGTGGTCACAGAAATTCTCTGACAGCCATGACTTGGTTCTCCTGCTTGTGTGGTATGGTGTAGAGTCCTGTTGCCAGATATAGGGTCTTCCAGCAGCCACCCTCTTGACTCAAGGCAGCACTACCTTCTCAAGTCACTTGATGTAGGCCTCAGTGTTGAGTCTTGAGGCCCTGTGGGAAGATAAATGGAGACATAATGTCACCATCACTAGTGATCACTCCAAATACCTTCATAATCTCCATTAGACTCATTGAACTCTTTCTGAATCTTCTGCACTGTTCTCAGATTGACATGAATAAACTCTGAAATGTTTGTAGTGGAGCTTCTGGCACAAATACCAAGTAGTACAGCATGCTGCTTCTAAATTTCTGGTGGTGTGAATTGTATCATGGTGCTCTTTTTCTCACAGATGATAAAATCAAAAACAAACAACACATATGTGTGAAATTAAAATATAAAATGACAAAAATTTACCAATCATGCCCTGTATATATAAAAACACGTTAGTGGGCACATAGCCAAGTGGTTAAAATGTTAGCATTATTACTAGTATACCTGTGATCAGATGTCATCATGCTCAATAATCAGTTTGGAGAGGTGATACCTGCATAAAAAAAACCTACAACATGTTGACCCAAGCCTTATGTGTTGAAACTGGTCAGAAGCCATTATTAAGCTAGCATGATGTCACATGTTTGAGCATACTGGGCTTGTTTAACTATTGTTCCATCCCGGATATAATGATAAACTACATATGGCAGCAAGGCCTCTGATCGGGAGGTTTTGAGGTGCATGGAACCACCTCTTAATTGCTATTGTTCCCAGGTTCACCCTGACCTGGGGTGGTAACACCTATTGGGTTCCTAGCTGTGGGTAAATAGTTAACCCCTAAATTGGAGTCAAAACTCTATGAAAGTATATAGATTTTTGTAAGAAAAATACCAGAAATTCATTTCTCTAAAGAAAAAAAAATTATCAGCAATACATTTTTGTAAAAGAAATTAATTCTCCCAAGAAAATTGGATTTCAGTGTTAAATGATCCATAGGAGTTGATATGCTGTTAAACCAACAACTATTGTTCACATGAGATTAAATGCAAATATGCCTGAACAGACATTTGCAATAGGTTCTAGCAAAACACTCTTATAGAAACCATATTCTCCTGAGACTGATTGATAAATACCTCCTTTACATTTGTTAGATATTTCATCATGCATATTTTTCTTGATTTTTTTTTTAATTAAAATAAAACTGTTTTGAACATGCAATGAAGACTTATTTTCATAAATTTTCTTACAAAAAATGCACAGGAATTACAACCTTAAAAAGAAATTCTATGTAGCAAACAGGTTAAATTTAATTATGTTGCACATTTAAAATAATTTACTAACTCCTTTTATTTATTTTTTTATCTACCCATTAAGTAGGTTATAGATACTTATAGCTTACGGCCAAATCTCATTAGAACACCAGTTCCAATACAATCACTGAAGTTAAGCAATGTCAAGCCTGTTTAGTACCTAGATGTGTGATCACTTGAGAATACCAGGTCCTGTAAGAATGGATGTGTGGGTGGTGTAATGGATAATGGCTTAGAATTGGAGATTGAAGATCTGAGTTCCAATTCTATTTAAGTTTGTTATATTCACTGATGTGCAAATGCTCTTGGGAAAGGTAGGAATCCACCTCTTCTCCCCCTAAGCTATGTGTTTATTGGTAGGAATTATATCAGTAAATTATTATCTCTAAAAAATTCTTAGAATCTAAAAATATTTTCTGGCTTTAAATAACCAACAAAGGGTTTGCGAAGACATAAAACCCTAATCAGTCAATAGATATTTATTTTATATCATCTGTTCAGTCCTGTTTCTCATCTGGTGTATAAATTTTGGGTTAAATAAAGAAAAAAACTGTTGCTATTATTTCATGAACCATATTCATACAGCATATGCAGATGTGTGGGTGGTGTACTGGATAGCAGCTCAGAATGAGAAATCAGAGTCAAGTTTGTTAGATTTACTTATGCACAAAATCCCCTTAGAAAAGTATGATCCCATATCTTCTCCCCCAGCTATAGGTTAAATAGTTGGATTTATATCTAGAAGAATCCTCATTATCTCTAAAAAAAATTGTTAATGCAATACTTGTGAAAAAAGGATCTTTTTTAATCATTTCACCCCCAAGTAAGACAAAGCCACTAAAACATAGGGGGTTGCAGTGTGTTCAAAGAATATAGGAACAGGAGAAACATTAAGAAGCAAGAACAATAAAAGAACAGGAATAAAAAAGATAGAAAATAACAATTTTTACATTTCAAAATATGTTTCAGCTTTAAATAACCCACAAAGGGTTAAGCTGTAAAAAACGATCAATCTTCATTTATGTTTTTGTTATTGGATTACAACATTTGAGTCTCTCCTTGTTACTGCCTATTTTCAAGTCTGAAGTTGGCATTGCCTAACTCTTCTCTGGTTTTTCCCTTGCCAGCAGTAAACTCAAGTCATCGAACAAGTTCCCTGTACAACTTAGCCTCTTTTCATTTTCAGTTCTTCACTTAGGGATTTTCTTTTTCTCTCTGTGACCAAAATAGCCAATTTGACCTGATAAATTCTCTGTAAAAATGTTTATAATTTTTGTTAATGCTTAAGTGTGTGGTAAAGAAAAACCAGTCCACTTTCTTTTATACATCATAGCAATGTTATAGATATAATTATTTTATATTTTTTTATATATTTTTTATTTTATAGATATAATTATTTTATACATAGCAATGCATAGTTTACAGATATGCTATTAAAAAACAAAAAAAATGTGTGGAGAGACATGAACACCTCTAACCTAATGAGACATGGCACTTAAGGAGATCTTGTTAGAAGTACATAAAGCAATACAAATAGACATAATTAAGAGACTTAAAATGAAAACCATAACTATGGTAGTTGACAATATGAAATAAGAAGGAAAAAAAATAAATGAAAAAAAGCAAACCACAGAATGAGCTAACTGGTTATCGCTCCTTACTTGTCAGATTTGATCAAGGAAAGTAAACTTTTTTTGTGCTCACTGACTACAAAAGAAACATGAAAAAGAAATGTACATGTATTAATAATACATTGAGACAGGTTTATTTTTTATAAACAAATTACATTCAGTCCATAAAAACAATTCCTTCATTTAAGTCATTGACATTATTTTCATTGAATAAGACATCCTTCCTTATTGTTATACTCTGCTTCAGATTAGATTCTATCTACATGTCAACCAGATGTGAATGCTAAGAATGCAAAACCCAAAATAAAAAAAAAATGTTGTCCTCTGTGCAAGAGCTCCAAGCATCACATCCAGCCCACAAAACAAATGCCCTCAAAAAGTAAAATATATGTATAAATCTCTGTTGCTGTATTTTGGTTATGACCTTATAGCAGTCATAAAATTTTTGAATGATAATTTCACAACATTTTTCTTACCTTGGCAGGTCAAGACAAATCTTGAGAATTGTAAAGACCAATGGGAAGTCTTTGAGTCCAAGTATGAAAACTGTTCTTTGTTGGTGAAACAATTGGAAAACAAGATAAAAGGAACAGAACTCAAGAAAAGCTTTGATGAAAAAGAAGAGCACTTAAAAATACTAAAGGTAAGAGTCTCAATCCTTTCCATTAAACTTTTTTCACTTTTGTATTTCTGTTCTGAAATGATTACAGGAAATAACATTTACAAAGCCACTAAGCATGAAAAATGTTTTACAAATTGTCATATAATAAAAATATAAATAGTCAACTGCAGTTCAAAAAATGTGAAGATGTTCATTATCATTTTTCTGGGAAAATAGGTTTTTATCTTTTTTTTATTTTATTAATTTAATTAGAATTATACAACTGGCAAAAGCTAAAGAGATGAAACGTTATAAAAAAAAATATAAAGACCATGAAAGATGATCTCAAATGTGTAACTGGGTGCTGGCTCTGGTTTGACATTTAGTTTCCTGAGAATACAAAATGATGATTTCAGGTGATTAAAAATTAAAAGTAAATGGTGAAAATGGATGTCTTAATAATTGGGAGGAAAAGTAAAATTACATATGTAATTAAAATGCAATTGCCAATAGAATCTGTGAGTTGAACTCCCAAACGAATTTGGTAAAAAGCAATTAACTCTAGAATTTCTCAAAAGTGTTCAGATAAGGATAAATATTTGCTTGGGTTTCAGAGCTGAAATCTGATCTAAGAGGGACAAATTCTTAATAGTCTGATTCTAAAATCACAAGATTTTATTAGAAATATTGTTTTTTCCAGATCAATAGACATTGAGATAATCCAAGTGAAGGTGGAAGTTTTTACATACATAAGTGTCAAAAATGGGAGATGAAGTGTTTAAGGGAATCACTTATATAAACTGGAGGGACATTTGGCTTCATGAATCACCAGGAGAGTGTTAAGAGACTCTCTGCTGCTTGAAGTCAGGAGTATGCATGCATGCATCATGTCAATGTAATGAGCACACAAACACAGTTACTTTGCTGTTGCTGACATGCTGTGAGTCTGGGATGATGATTACTACTATCAATTTGCAATAGCAACCTGTGACAAGAAGAATTGAAACAATTCAGGAAACAAACCCTTCATAAATTTCCAAATAACCATTTTGCTACCTAGATGCATAGCTAATGCATGTTTGTGTAATGTCCCTCATCAAATTATTGTTTAAAGTTTCTGATGTGGTCGTTCATGATTAAAGGGATCTAGTTTCAATGTAGGAGGAGTGGCCTGGAGGATCACACAAAAAACAAATTACCATACTCCCTGTAGTGAGTTAATAACCCCTTCCATTGGGAGACACAGCAAACCACTAGGTGATTGCTGTCAAAAGACTGACTCCTTTCAGAGAGCATATGACAGACCAGAACTGCTACCAGACATACATCCAAGAGTGTGTTTGGTTAGCATCTGTTTATGTTCAATTCAGTAGCCAAAAGTAATTTGATCATGGTCTATTCAGTGAACAGGCTTTAAGTTGGATCTGCATGTGGTCTGTTCATAAATATCCAAACAAAATTTGTAATGTTAATGACTTTTTTCATAGTTATAAAAAAATTTAGCAATTCCATTTTTAATTCTTGGTTAAGTGTAATTGGCAAAAATGGTCAATCTATGGAATTGATTCTTTGATCAAGTAGAATTGATCCTTTTGGAAAGAGGAACTTTGTCTTTTTGTTCAGATCACCCCAACCAATATTGTAAGATTTGAGCTTATGTTGTTTTCTGCAATTTTTTTTTTAATTTTCACTCTTAAATTTCAGTCTCAATTGGAAGAAATTAACCAGCAGAGAGATGCCATGGATGAATTATCAGAAGTTTCCCAGAACTTGTCAAGAATGACACCTGATTCCCAAATCAGTAGCAAAGTGGCACAGCTCAAATCCAAACATCAAGCTGCTATTGGCAATATCAAGGTAAGTATGAAATGTTCATTTCATAAGGTTAATATTGCTTTTGTTTCTACCTTGATACAAATGTTGATTCTGTATATAAGGTGAATAAGTATTCTTTGTCTTGATTCATTATTTTTCTTTCTACTAGCTTTCTTTCTTTTATGTTCCATGTCTTTTCAGTATGTGAGTAATATTTGCTTGCAACATCTTCTTTTCCCTTGTTGATCTAAGTGGCATTTATGAGACTCACTTCTGTATACTTAATAACTATTTTTTGGTAATTTGAATAAGCAATTTGATAAGACCTTCTTTGCTTGTATTAAAAAAAAAAAGTACTGAGAATCAACCTCTTGTAATATACTATTTTCCTTGATAATAAAACTTTGGTATATTCTTTTATGTCTGCAGCTTCACCTTGATATACTGCCAGGTATTTGGAGTATATTATACGAAACTAAGTACTTTGCTATTAGATATCATTATCACCAATATGTGTACTTCAACATTATCTCCATAGAGAGTGTGTTAAGTCTGCCTGCCCTACATATTATAAATATTACTAACAGATACAAATTGGCAAGCCAATAAACATTGAAATTGATAAGAATTTTTGCTATCATAGAATCAAAAGGCTAAAAAGTTATGAAAAGTAACCTTCTAATTTCTTTTTTGTGTAGTGATGCCTGACTGTATGTATATAAAACATTGTTGTTAACAGCTAAGTAGCTTTTTACAGTACGCTAGTGATGTGGAAGAAATTGATGACTATTAGCAGCTACTGTCATCCATTGCAGACTAATTTTATAGAAGCTGCTGGTGATTCTCGATGTACCTGATAGCCTTTCTGAAAGTGAATCATTTAGTGTATTTATAAATGATGAAATAATAACTTTATTTGTCAACGAGACAAATAAATATGCTAGTCAAGTGAAAGAAGGACCAAACAAATGCTTGTATCTTCTTGTATGTAAACACAAGGAAACGCGTCTCTTTTTTAGCAAAATGAAAGCCTTCCTAGCCATTTTGCTTCTTATTGACACCCCAGAACTCAACAAGGAATAATAAAAGTTAAAGTATGTTAAATTGTTAATGTATTTATTTTTTATTTGGTTTCAATTTTTTGTTTTCA